CTTTTCTTCACGACTGAGCATTACTTACGAATCCCAGATTATTGGGGGTTGGATAAGTTCTGTTGCAAAAGAGATCGGCTGTGCCGCCAACCTTGCTAGCAATTGCTATGTAATAGCAAAAAGCGAGCCAGATTTTCATCTCTGTAAAGTAGTACGCTCAATCGCAGCACTTACCCGTCTTATCGAATGAAACACATCAGAGAGTCAAAACTAGATCGAAATACCGTAGGTGTTAGGATTTAAATGATAAGTGGCCCTTGCTCTCCAAGGTCCCTTATCAGCTCCTGTCACTTGCTGCCAATTGTTCTCTTTGACCATCTACGGTCCCATCATATCAAATGCAGAACAGTTAAGGCATAACTACTGGGGCAATTACTCTAGTGATTTTCCCCTCCCGTGATTCTCGATATTTATCTGCCCATATCGCTAACCCGCTGGGAGAGGGCTCAGCACAACCGATCATATCCACACTCTTACAAGACTCATTGAAGTATCACGAGAGTACAAAATCTGTTATGCCTTACGTCCATCGATTGAAGAAAGCCTTCGACACCGTCGAGACAGAAGCAGTAATTGAAGCCCTGGGCAACCAGGGTGTTCCTACTTAATATATAAGGATGCTTCGTGAACTTTACGAAAACTTTACGACCAATGTTTCACCATTCTACAAGGAAGTCATTATCAACATGAAGAGAGGGATTTGACAGGACGATACCATCTCGCTCAAACCTATCAGTGCCGCTCTTGAGAATATCACGCGTCATTTGGAATAGGAAGAATTGGGAGTGAAGGTCGACGGCTGCTACCTACATCACCTCCGCTATGCAGCCGACATCGTGCTTATAACACCGAACATCGAGCAATGCTCTAGCTATGTCTATCTAGGTCGGGAAGTCAACATGATGAACGACCTAGCTGCAGAGCTGTGCAGAAGGAAACGCGCCGCGTGGGGAGCATTTAAGAATATCAAGGGAGTAGTGAAGAAGACAGAGAACATCCGGCTCCGCGCTCACCTTTTCGACACNGACACTGCTGTCCTTCCTGATTTAACGTACGCCTCGGAGACTTGGACTCTACGAAACCAGGACGAGCATGCTGTCAGCGTTACTCTACTCGCTTTGGAAAAGCCGATGCTCGGAATTTCGCTATACACGCAAGAACAGAAGGGAATTCGGAGTTCCGAGCGCCGTCAACAATCATCTGAAGAAATGACGTTAATCACAGAAATGACGTTAATTACGCCAAGAAATCGAAGATCAGGTTGGCCGGACACGTTATGCGATATAGTGGTGACCGTTGGAAAAGGGCGGTTACTGACTTGATTCCTCGTGACATCAAACGAACTCCAGGACGGCCGCCGACGAGATGGTCAGACTTCTCCACGAAAGCTCTGAGCGAAAGGGAAGGAATGTTGATTTTCCTTGTCCCTGAAACGCGGACAACTCATTGGACCACTCTGGTTCGTGACAGAGACGAATGGGGACGTTACTGGCGCCCGCTCGAAGAAATCGACGATCAACGGGACGCCAGGTGATGCAGGTGATCGTTAGTCCCTATCACATCTTCTATCAAATTGTCAAAGATCCAAAATTAACACGAAGGGCATTATAAGCCTAATGGCACCAGCCTTTTATGGCTCGTTATCAGTCCCTATCACAAATTAATAACAGACCCTACACATCCCATGTCACTCACCAAGGTAAAAAAGCTTAACAGTTCAAGTTCTTGTGGGTTGGTGTTCTAAGGCTCTTTATCAGTTCATATTAATGACTATAACCTCCTATCACCTATCATCAGTGTACCTACGCCGCTTGTACCTCTTCCATTATAGGAGGTATGAAATTCCGGTCAGACACGTACACACACATCCCCACGCAGCCAATTATACACAGTGTCTCAAACTCATGGACGCTGAAATTCAGGAACTCCTCAGGCAAAAATAATTATTAATCCCTAGGTTCGTTGATAATCAATCACATAGGTGATTTTTCTTGCAATTTGCAAATTCATAGGGCTGTGAAAAATTCGTTTACAACTCGATCTGGTCCCGGCCGACTCATCAAAAAGAAGGCAACAAAACTCATTAAACTCGGGTCGGGGCGCGCTACGGCGCTACCATTTACTCTCTACCTTTGTCTTTACCTTGTTTTTTCTGTTCGTTTTGAATTCGCTCGATTATCGTGAACTTCTCTATCTTCAACAAGCTTCCCTTGGCAAGTCTGTTTCACATATGTTTCGAAAATTTTGGCCATAGCAACTTAGTCACATTCTGTCACAATAGAACCTTATGAACTATGTACTTCAGCATTTCCTTTTTATCTTTTTTGTCGCCAAAGAATTTTCCCTCTCGATTCATCTACCTGCTTTGATTGCTGTCCCTGTGCACAGAATTGCAATAGACGCTACATCAATTTTTGGCTGGATCTGAAAGAAGAAGTTTCCAGCACTGCTAGACATTAGTTGAGAGACTTTACTAGTCTCCCTAATTCCTGCCGAAGAGATTTTCAAGAACTGATCCTCACATTGCCAGTTATCGAATCTTCCGCAGCTTGTTGTAGAACGATTAGATTTGCGAACACCATAATCAGGCCAACTATCAATGTCGTGAGTGGTTCGAGTCTGAAACTTCTTAGTGAAATTCGGTTGCATAGAGAATAATGAGGAAGCATAATCAAGGCCCTCAGTTGTGTTGTATTGAGGGTTATTTCTACGTAAACCTGGGCAGGGAGATTTTTACGGGCTCCAGGTTTGTCGATTCATATCGCTCTGCTAACCCAGGGTGAAAGGTATCCTTGATTTGGGTAAGAAGAAAGGCCAGCTTAGATGAGAAGTTTACTCCGTCGTGTGTTCCTAGAAAGTGCATTCAAGACTGCATAATCGATTTAACCCATTGACGACCGCGTGGCTCGCCTTCGGGCCACACCATATCGTGCTCCTGGGACCGCGTGGCCCGTATACGGGCCACGGTGGTATTTTCAGTGTTTCGAACCGATTTTGGATTTTCTGCCGCTTTCAGGTAGCAACAATGTTGATGACCTTCTAGAGAATCTTGAGGCACAATGGTCCGAAAAATTTTTTGCTTTCAACTATAGGAACGCAAGGAAACAAAGTTTTGTGAGAACTATATTAAAAGCAGCAAAATGAAGCATTACCAACTGTTTCACTACACCTACTTTTTATGATGATTTAGACTAATCTGAACCCTTCCTTCCAACTCCTATTTCAGTTATGAAAAACCGAACTAATCAAAACAAAAGAAATCGTGGTATTGTTTCTCTGAAGTGTACTTCTTGGCATGATTCATAGGCACGATATTTTTCTTCGTGATGTTCCTTGTTGCAGCCAGTGCATCCGCTACACTCTCTCTCCATGTTCTCTCCATTGCTCACTTTCCGACATGTAGGTTTTTTTGAGGAGAAACTTTTTCCGAGAATATTTTGAAAGCAGGTTCTATAGGTTCACCTTATGTTAGTTGAAGTTAACACAGTTTTTGTGTGTCAAAGAAGTCTGTAGAAATCACGAGAATCACTCTGCGTGATAAATGAAAAGAAACTTTTGGAACTATCCTTTGGTGCGATGCACAATTGGAGAATAAGCCAACATCCAGTTTAGTGCTGAACGCTTTGAACAACAAATCCATTTGGGTTCTTGTATGTACCCTTCAACGTCTATGGAATATTCGACAGATTCATTCACCCCTCCTGCAAAGCTAATTTCTCTCT